ATTAGTTAAAAACGATAAAAAATTGTGGGTTGTGGGGTGTTGTGGGTTGTGGGTGTTGTGGGTTGTGGGTGATGTTGTCGAACTAGAGATGCTGAAAAGTGGTTATAAGTTGTGGGTTGTTGTTTTGGGCGTTGTGGGGTGTGGGTGATGTGAGTTGTGGGTGTTGTGGGATGTGGGTGATGTGGGTTGTGGGGCGTTGTGTTCGAACTAGAGATACCGGAAAAAGAGGTGATTCTGTTGTAAGTGTTCGTGTGTGTTTGGTTTGTGTTCATGTTTTTTTGCACTCATGTTACATCTTAGTTAGAGGTGAGTGGGATCGTCTTGGTTATAGTGATTTGAGAGGATTTGTGTGAAAATGGGTGGTTAGTCTGTGATGTTGATCTTAGTTTATGGTGATTTTGGTGGTGTTTTGACCGTATTCAGTGGTGTTTTAGTAGTATTCAGTGGTGTATTTGGGAGTACTCAAGTGGTGTTTGAGACTATTCAAAGTGTTTTTTAAAGGTGTTCAAATGATGTGCAAGAGTATTTATGAAGGAGTTCTGGGAGTATTCAGTGGTGATTTGGGGGTGTTCAATGATGTTTTGGAGTATTCAAAGGTAATTGATGGTGTTTTTGGTGTTGTTCAAAGTAAAGTGTCTGAGTTAGTTTTTGTGATACTGTTGTAAAAATCTGGAGAATGAGGGAGGAGTTTTGGGGGATGAGTTGTAATTTAATGAAATATGTAAGTGTAGATAAATTAGAGATGTCATATCTTATTTGGGAGTATTCAAAATGTTGTCTTGGAAATGTTTTAGTGATGTTTGGAAATGATCAAAGGTGCTTTTGTGAGTATTCAAATGATTTATGAGAGTATTTTGAAGGTGTTCAAAGTAAGTGAGGTGTGTGTGTGTGTGGTGTTGTGTGTGTGTGTGTGTGTGTGTTGTGTGTGTGTGGTGTGTGTTGTGTGTGTGTATTGTGTGTGTGTGTGTGTGTGTGTGTGTGTGTGTGTGTGTGTGTGTATGTGCGTAATTAACTTCGTAATATGTAAATTGTGTTTGTGAATTTTCGTAAAAGTGGTTATAAGTTGTAAGTGTTGTGGTGACTTTTTCTGACGAAATAGTTAAAACGAGAAAAATGTCAAGACTTGTGTTGTATTTTGTAAAGAAATTGTGGATTGTTGTGGGTATTAACAAAAAAAAATGTGAAATTATTTGGGTTATCCTGGGATAAGAGTGAAAATGTGTAATGTTTTCCCTAGTTGTATATGAAATGTGTAATACTGAGATGGTGACGACGAAGAAGATCCAGAACAAAATGCACAGAATTTCTTCAAGAGAAAAATATGTTGATTTTGGTCAATGAATTGTATCTTTTTTCAATTTTTTTTGTTGGATGTATATGAAATGCATTGGTTGTATAATAAATAAATGAAAATATTGTGTATTAGTGTTATCCTGCATTTTGTTGTCTGCTCGACAAGAGTCAGCCTGTGTGTGTGAGGTCATCACGTGACGTCACTGACCCGCCGAGTAAACACAGGTGGGGTGACGTCACACTTGTTTAGACCTGTAGTAAGAGAAAGTACCATGCCCCATAGGGGGAGTTCATTTGAATGCTTACCCCTAGAGGGGGGAATCCAAAAACTTGATCCGAGGAGATGGAGTCTTTGTATTATTTGATATCGAGAAAAACTTGATCCAAGGAGATGGAGGAGAAATACTTGAGGTAGAAGTGGGTGGTGGGAGGTGGGGGGGAATCTTTGTATTATTGATATCGAGAAAAACTTGATCCGAGGAATTGGAGAATACAAGAAAATCGAAACCCCCAGAGGGGGAGAATCCAGAAAACTTGATCCAAGGAGATGGAGGAGAAATACTTGATCCAAGGAGATGGAGACCACAAGAAAATAAAATTAAAAAGAAATCGAAAAAAAAATTTGGGATGTGGTGAAAGGGGGAGGGGGAACCTCAAAACTTGATCCGAGGAGATGGAGAGCATATGAAATTCAAAAAAAAATCGAAAAAAAATCGGTAAAAAATTCGGGGAGCGGTGGCGATCCAGACGACGCTGCAGAAGGCACTGGCGGGCGCGAGGGCGAGTGCGCAGGCGGGACGCCGGTCGGGCCGGCGTGTGTGGGGGGTTGAGGGTGAGTGGTCTAGGGTGGGGATCGTGGGTGAGGGTCGTGGGTGGGGGGTCGTGGTGGGGGTCGTGGGTTGGGTCATGGGTGAGGTGATTGGTGGGGGTCGTGGGTGGGGGTCGTGGGTGGGGGTCGTGGGTGGGAGTCGTGGGTGGGGGTCGTGGGTGGGGGTTGAGGGTGAGGTCAAGGTCATTAGCATTAAGGTGTGAAAAGGGGGTCGGCTCATGAATACAGCGCTCAGCCCTAGGAGCCACTCAGCCCCATGCGTCGCTCAGCCGCCTTCAGCAAATACTTATATATAAATATATATATATATATGTGTGTGTGTATAAAATTATATATATATATATATTTATATATATATATATATATAATATATATATATATATATATATATATATATATATATATATATATATATATACAATAAATCACAGTAAACAGGTGATTTTAAAATATGCAAAACAACATTGTGAAAGAGTAGTGAATTCCAAGTGTTTTCGTGACTACTCACATTGTCAAGGAACTATGAAAGTAATATCAAAGGAAGGTAATTAAAGGGCTTGGTTGATATGCCTTCTCTTCTTAAGACTTTTAATATTTAAGTTGTATTTAAAAAATCTTGATAAATAAAAAAACATTTTGATAAAGAATTCCCCCCAAAATGCTGATGGATGTGTCTATAAGATTCCTTGTAAAATTTGCGATAAAGTTTATTACGGTCAAACTGGTAAAAATCTCGAACTAAGATTTAAAACAACATAATATAGCATTAGAACTGGAAAGATTCCAATTTGATCAAATTTATTCATGTGAGAGATTTTAACCATCCAATTGTTTTTCAAAAGTTGAGAAAGTTGTATCAAGCAAGGTCCATGGTCGACAGGATTAAAAATTGAATCTTGTTATAAAAAGAAGTTTTGATATAATATGAATATTACCTTAGGTTTATTTTAAATTAGATTCATTTAAATTAATAAAATTTGGTTAGAGTTTAATAATACATTGGACAAATAATAAACCTTATTTGTTGGGTTAGAATAATTTGTTATGGGATGTCATCAGGACCTGTCTAGTTAGTTGGACCAGCGGACCTCTGCAGTGTTCTCTTTTCTTATGGTCCGGAAATTGTCGCGCGTCAGGTGTTTCTTTGTGTTGGGAGTTGACTGTGAGGTGTGGTCTAAGCCCTTTTATTGCTTACTTTAAATGTATTACTTTCAAGTTCCTTGTCATGTGAGTAGTCATGAAAGCGCTTGGAATTTCACTACTCTTTCACAGTGGTTGTTTTGCATATTTTAAATCACCTGTTTACTGTGAACTTTTTTGCATATATATATATATATATATATATATTTTATTATATATATATATATATTATTATATATATATATATTATTTATATATTTATAATATATATATAATATATTATATATATATAATATATTATATATATATATATATATATATATATATATATATATATATATTTTATATATTATTATATTATATTATACTGTTATATATATATAATATTTATATATATATATATATATAAATATTTATATATTATATATGCATTCTCCACACACTCCTCAAGTGTTTACATTTAACTACTGGGAATTTCACTTTTTCCCTTATTTATAACACAGTCTATGGCAGTACCGCTTCCTGGAGGCCTACTAACCTTCACCGATACTTTTATCTTGTTTGTTCGTTATATATTCACACTTGCTATATGCCACCTCACAGTTCACTCACTAAACAAGTTGACTACACTTGACTTTCTGACTTTGGGTTTATGTATCCCTGTAAAGTTGACAATTTGTAGCTCTGTGGCAGCAGTGCCTTCGACGCCTCTAACAGATTTTGGCACTTTCAAATTCATGAAATTTTAGTCTTCCTGTAGTCCATTTCACTTTTAAGACCACGTTGTCACTTGTTGGGTTGCTCACTGGACCATATCACCGGCATCTGCTAAGAGCTAAATCACGCCCTAAAAAGTTTTGGGAGCCTTGTTGCCCCAACACTCTGACTGCCGCGCCGTGCGTGTGTACTCACCTAATTGTACTCATCTAATTGTGGTTGCAGGAATCGAGACTCAGCTCCTGGCCCCTCCTCTTCACTGATTGTGTGTCTGTGTGTGTGTGTGTGTGTGTATGATCTAGTTGTTACTTTATCCACTGGTCACGGTTTTAACATTGTAGTCTGAAGGCTCCACAGGCTACATAGTTCATGTCGTTATGAATTACGAAACATTAATATGAAGATAAATATACTTTTAAAAAACATATTAATAATTTAAGAGTTAATATATATATATATATATATATATATTATATAAAATTATTATATTAAATATTTATATTTTATATAATGTTATATATTATATATATAAAATAATATATTAACCGCACATTCATTGCCTCTGGAGAAACTTATTCATAAATTCTGCAGGAAAAATTAGCTATTAAAACTGATGAATGTTTATATATTAACTAGCAATGAATGATAATTTATATACAAATGAATAGCTCTCCCAAATCATGTTAATTATAAAAGTCATATTGTTTGAGGCATGTCACAATTTACTCATCGACACCATGCCTAACCCTTCTAGGGTAGGGTAGGTGCCTGAGCCCGAGCCTTTAGCTCATAAGACTGTCATTCCCATTTGTCTCCTTGGGGCGGGGATGGCAGACCAGAGAGGCCTAGCTTGTGGCTAGGCCTAGGGACAGTTGGTCCCAAAGATGAGGAGGTACTTGTGCCTCCTCCCATGGGAGACTTAGGTCTCAGACACTCCCAAAAGAGGGAGCCAAGGCCGGGCCACCACTTGGAAAAGGCCCGGGCCGGGAGAATACCGGCTAATCTTTAATAATAATAATCACTATTTACTGCTATCTGCTTCCTTCTCAGGTACGGCCAAATGACTGCTGGCAGCTACTGTTACATAGGTCCTCAGGGAATTGTTCATGGCACCACTGTAAGTACCAGTGAAGCTTTGGGTTAAAGTAAAAGGAACAAGTGCAACTAATGTGACATTTTATTGTGGCAACGTTTTGCTCTCCAGGAGCTTCATCAAGCCGTTTCGCTCCTGGAGAGCGAAACGTTGCCACAATAAAATGTCACATTAATTGCACTTGTTTCCTTTTACTCTACATATTGTCGGTAATTCTACCAACATTATTACAATCTGTTGCACAACACTTATTATTATACTATATTCATCACCTGATCGTCGCCAGTAAATGCAACCAAAGCAGAGAAGCTTTGGTTGCTTCCTTGCAGCATTGCGCAGCTCCTGATGACGCACTGAGAAGTGTGAAAGTACTTGAGCTAAAGGTTTCCATTCCCTCCCCCACTCCGTGGCTTGTCCTGCATAGCTAAGATCGCCCGTCTGCGATTATTTGCATTATATATTATTATATATATTATATATATTATATATATATATATATATATATATTTTTATATATATATATATATATATAATCAATGAAACCACGAAACAAGTGGCATTGAATCATTTACCAAACGGTGGCAGGCCAGGATTCGACCCCACGACACATTGTCCTGCCTCAAGAGACAACACAACGAACGTGTCACACTATCCACTACGCCATCAATCCTACAAACAACATGGCCAAGCGAACTAGACTTTTTTCATGCTGCGAGGACACTCGTAGCAGTGGATGTTCAAGGATTAATTTCAGCTTGTGCACTTTGCTTTTGGGAGATTCTGAAGAGAAGTTGCAGAGGTTGATGGATGAGTTTGGTAGGGAATGTAAACGAAGAAAATTAAAAGTGAATTCAGGAAAGAGTATGGTGATAAGGATAAAAAATAGGAAACGAAAGATTGGATATCAGAATGGAGGAAGAGAATATGGAGGAAGTGAATGTATTCAAATATTTAGGAGTGGACGTATCAGCAGACACATCCACTCCTAAATATCTGAATTCACTCTCCTCCACTACGTTTTCCCTTTATCAATTCTGTATTTTACCTCTTTCACAGACCCATAAGCTGACAAGTCTACTCCCAAATATCTGAATAAATTCATTTCTTCCATACTCCCTCCCTCCAATCTGATATTCAGTCTTTCAATACCTATTTTTTTTATCCTCATCACCTTACTCTTTCTTATGTTTTCTTTTAATTTCCTTCTCTTACGTACCCTACCAAACTCGTCCAACAACATCTGCAACTTCTCAGAATCTCCCTAAAACGGAGAGTCAACAACAAAAACCCTAAAACGGAGAGTCAACAACAAAAACCAGCTCCGACAACTCCCACTCTGTGCTACATTCTTATTCTCTTAATCCAACATGTATTGCCAACACCAGAGCATTTACTTCTCTTACAAACCTTGGTGACATCACACATCCTTGTCTAAGGCTTACTGTTACTGGGAAATAATCTCCCTCTGTCCTACATACTCTACCCTGAGCCTCACTATCCTTGTAAAAACTCTTCACTGCTTTCAGTAACCTACCTCCTATTCCGTACATCTGCAACATCTGCCACATTGCTTCCCTATCCAACCCTATCATACGCCTTTTCCAAATCCATAAATGCTACTAAAACCTCTTCATTCTTTTGTAAATACGGTTTACCTATATGTTTTACTGTATACACTTGCCTAATACCCCCTACCCTTCCTAAACCTTCTTGTTTATCTGAGATCCTGTTTCTGTCTTACTCTTAATTCTTTCAATAATAACTCTATCATACACTTTACCAAGTATACTCAACAGGCTTATTTCCCAATGATGTTTGCTCTAACTTATGTCCCCTTTCCCCCTTTACTCGTGCAGCAGCAGCCTATAGTCAGGAAGTGCTCTTCTCTCCTCCCTGGGGCCTGGCCAGGGAGGGACAGAAGGCCGACTTTGACACACTGCCTGTATCAAGAACACATTAAAAACGTCGCCTCTGGAGAGTATTATTCACCGCTACCAGACCTTTAAGCAGTCTCTTTATATCCGTGTGTGAGTCATGTCTGTCTGATATACGATATTGACAGTGCAATTTCCCAAACCCAATTGGGATGGGAAGAAAATGGCAGGAATTATACTTGTGGTTGGATGGAAAACAATTTGCTGCAAGAACAATGTTATTAACAACAGTTTCAGAGTTCCTGTGAGAACACTGAAAAATAGATCGAGAAAGCAATTCCCTTGTCGAAAATTGGTAGGTAATAAACTGTTGCCCGTGTGATTGAGTTTGCTTGTTCATTGCCCTAAACATCAGCCTGTCTGGAGACCACAACAAAACTTACCTGCCTAAGATGACTGCATGAAAGAGACGAATTTCTATATTTGTAATACGCTTGAGAGCCGGAAACAACAACGAATGATAAGGCAGACATGGTCTGCTTGTAAGTCTGCTGTGAAAGCACTAACCATCTCTGGTAAATGTCCATGGATTATTCATTCTGTACATGCAGCTACATATTTGAGAATCAAAATCATGAATGAGCACTCCTGTAGCACGAGACTGAGTCAAATTAATCAAGAAAGTGTCCAAGAAAGAGTGAGCAAAAGGTTAAATGTGTCTCAGTGCACGCCACTGGAAATACTCACTCTGCTATATAAGCATATAATGCAATTAAATATTCACAACGAGGATTCGATGCAAATCAGAAAAGGCATTTACATGTCATCATATCGAATTAAATATCTCAATTACTTCAATAAAAAGGGCAAATTACAACATATACAGCCCGTTTTTAATTTTGACTTTTGACTAAAAGACCAGCTCTGAAGCTGGCATTCTCTTGTTAATTCAGAGAGACCAATATCTTACCATACATCAGCACATTGAGTTTAAAGTTGCTCTATGTTGCATTATTAAATTATTAGCATTAACTGACAAACTACACAACGCGTAATCCACTGGGCCAGCTGGTTTAAATCCAACTAGGTATATTTATACCTATAAATATATCTAGTTGGATGAATCTTAGTGTAGTCATCTGGCTCATGGGCTTACGCACTGGCCAGGAGTTTTACCACTAACCGCGAGTTCAGTACCCACCTATATCCTGGCTTGTTTGCAATCGTGTCATTACGATTTCGTAATGACACGATTGCATGAAAAGCAGTAATATAATTTTCAAAATTTCTTATCCCCCCCCCTCTACAAAAAATAAAAATTGGGACCTACTATCTAAGATTTCCTCTAAATTAAAATGACCAGATTTTAATTAATTTATTAAGTGATTAAGTCAGAAAGTAAATTTGATTTGTGTTTTACGCAAAATACAAAACTTAATTTTTCTTATAATCTCGATGTTACACGAATGTGGTAAGCACATAATTCAATCAAGTTTGAAGCCTATCCGATAAGTCATTCTCAAGTTACAAATGAATGCCTTAGGGGAAGTAGGAAGTGCAGGAGAACACTGTACTTACCTGTAATCACTCACTATAATATTTATGACTCTAGTTCAAGAATTAGGCCCCCCAAGCATCTCCAAGCATCCCTCTCAAAGCACTGCCTTATGCTGTTCGCAATTATTATTATTATTATTATTATTATTATTATTATTATTATTATTATTATTGTTGTTGTATATTATTATTATTATTATTATTATTATTATTTTATTATATATAGTATAGTAGGTATAGTAGTAAGTATTATAGTAGTATATATATTATTTTATTATTATTATATATTATTATTATTATTATTATTATTATTATTTTATTATTATTATTATTTATTATTATTATTATTGTTATTATTATTATTATTATTATGTTATTATTATTATTTATTATTATTATTATTACGTATAAAAGTCTTAAAAATTATTATTAATTCATAAGAGCTAAAACTCCCATTATTTCCTATATACATTATACTCTATATATTAAAGGCAATGAGCCAAATTTTAAGTCCGTCCTATTTACCAGAAATGTCAGTGTTAACAAGTCTTATAGTATACAGACTGTTACAAAAACAGAGGAAACAGGTAAATACAAACAGCTAAAGATATGTGTGTGTGGAAGGTCAGGGATCTGGTGTGTGTAAAGGCAACCAACCATTCTTATCTTCCACAGCTAACTGTGCTTAACGCTGGAAGGAAGTACTTAGGGTTGGAGAGTCTGGCTGGGCGGGTGTTGGTCACGTCAGGTCTGGGAGGCATGAGTGGAGCTCAAGCTAAAGCTTCTGTCATCTGTGGCTGTATCGGCGTGGTGGCAGAGGTACGTAGCCCAGGCTGATACCTGCATCAACACCTGCATGACATCAACCCACCTGCATCACCACCACCTTTATGCCATCAACCCACCTGTATCATCTCCACCTTTATGTCATCAACCCACCTGCATCACCACCACCTTCATGCCATCAACCCTCTTGCATCACCACCACCTTCATGCCATCAACCCACCTGCATCACCACCACCTTCATGCCATGAACCCTCTGCATCCCACCACCTGCATCAACCCACCTGCATACCCACTCAACCCACCTTGCTCACCTTGCATCACCACCACCTTTAGTCATCAACCCACCTGCATCACACCACCTTCATGCCATCAACCCACCTGCATCACCACCACCTTCATGCCATCAACCCTCTTGCATCACCACCACCTTCATGCCATCAACCCACTTGCATCACCACCACCTGCATCACCACCACCTGCATCACCACCACCTGCATCATCACCACTTCATTCATATATACTTTTGCATAAATTTAGTCATTGAACACCTCATTTCAATTTATGCCATCAACACACCTGCAATCACCACACCTTCATGACATAACCCTGATTGCATCACCACCAACTGCATCACCACCACCTGCATCACCACCACCTGCATCACCACCACCTGCATCACCACCACCTGCATTCCATCAGCCTATTAATTCAAAATATATATATTAATATGCTGGGTGATAATTTATATTTTAGTATTGTAAGCTCCTTTTAATTTATATTTTATAAACTCTGGACGGGAAATACTAGGTCTATTGATTCGGTTTAAAGGTAATCCCACGTGAGGAATCTGTTCTCTGACACCAGGATTTGATTCAGTGTCAAAAGTACGGACTTACATGAGGAACTTGTATGTGTTGCAGGATCGACTCTGCAACTCCTCGAGTACATAAAAGTTGCAACAATAAAATGATACAATAGTTGCAGCTGCGTCCTTGTATCTAACATCCAGGTAAAAACCTCGGTAGTTGCAATAAAAGTAGGATATAATGAGGTGTCAGATGTAGTGTCAGTAGTGTCAGTAGTGTCAGTAGTGTCAGCAGTGTCAGTAGTGTCAGTAGTGTCAATAGTGTCAGCAGTGATGCTGTGTCAGCAGTGATGCAGTGTCATCAGTGATGCAGTGTCAGCAGTGTCAGTAGTGTCAGCAGTGATGCAGTGTCAGCAGTGTCAGTAGTGTCAGCAGTGTCAGTAGTGTCAGCAGTGTCAGTAGTGTCAGCAGTGTCAGTAGTGTCAGCAGTGTCAGTAGTGTCAGCAGTGTCAGTAGTGTCAGCAGTGATGCAGTGTCATCAGTGATGCTGTGTCAGCAGTGTCAGTAGTGTCAGCAGTGATGCAGTGTCAGCAGTGTCAGCAGTGATACAGTGTCAGCAGTGTCAGTAGTGTCAGCAGTGATGCAGTGTCAGCAGTGTCAGTAGTGTCAGCAGTGATGCAGTGTCAGCAGTGTCAGTAGTGTCAGCAGTGATGCAGTGTCAGCAGTGTCAGTAGTGTCAGCAGTGATGCAGTGTCAGCAGTGATGCAGTGTCATCAGTGATGCAGTGTCAGCAGTGTCAGTAGTGTCAGTAGTGTCAGCAGTGTCAGCAGTGTCAGTAGTGTCAGTAGTGTCAGCAGTGATGCAGTGTCAGCAGTGTCAGTAGTGTCAGCAGTGATGCAGTGTCAGCAGTGTCAGTAGTGTCAGCAGTGATGCAGTGTCAGCAGTGTCAGTAGTGTCAGCAGTGATGCAGTGTCAGCAGTGATGCAGTGTCATCAGTGATGCAGTGTCAGCAGTGTCAGTAGTGTCAGTAGTGTCAGCAGTGTCAGCAGTGTCAGTAGTGTCAGTAGACGGGTCGTACATAACAACAACCTTTAATCCATCGTAACTTAATTATATCAGTAATAGATGACACAATATTAAATAAACCAATTATCATATATACATTATATGGAACACAATAAACCATCAAAGACTCCGGTGAATAACAAATTAAGTTGAAAATATACGAAATTTTGGCTTCAATGGATTGATCTCCACAACTGGGAAATATTAATATAAACTATTGATAAATACAGTTATTCTACTTCTTGCTCTAATGAGAAATAAACATGAAAAGGGTCACTATGCAACTATTAACATAATAAGAGCTAAATACATTGGGTAAAGTACCACGCGAGATATATATATATATATATATATATATATATATATATATATATATATATATATATATATATATATATATATATATATATATATATATATTATATATATATATATATATATCGTGCCGAATATGTAAAACTGGTCAATTAGCAAGAACTCATTTAAAATTAAGTCTTTTCTGAATTTTTTAATTTTGCACCAAAAGAATCTTAGAAAATTTACCTAACCTTATTGTAACAAGCGCAATTTATTTTAGCCTAACCCAACTAAATATATTTTAAATACGTTTACAATAATTTAGTACGAAACAACCATAATCAAATATATTTTTTTTTGTTAGGTTCAGAATGATTTTGGCGAAATTATTGCATACACAAATTTTCACTTGTCCTATATGGCAAGATGAGCGTTGCTATTTAAGCCAAGATCGCAAGTTCTGCTTATTTACGCAGTGAGCTCAATATCTGGTACCTGGATGACGGCACTCTGGCAGGTACTGAAGAGTCCCTGGTGAGGTACCTACAACTGGTGAAAACACAGGTAGAAGACTTGGGACTCATCCTCAATCCCTCCAATTGTGAAATCATCACAGCGAACCAGGAAATAATCAATGCAGCGCGAAGAATCCTCCCGGAAGCCTCAACTACCACTCCGTCCAACAGTACCCTCTTCGAAACATAAACACATATGCAGTTTAATGGGATCCTTTAATGACAACGTTTCGCCCACGCAGTGGGCTTTTTCAAGTCACAAACAGATCTACCTGGGGTGGAAGGTACGGGAGTATTTATAGTCAGGTTCAGAACGTTGAGGTTAGGTGGAGAATGCTGCATCTGATGATCCACTGGGTGGGGTTTATAATAGAGTCTTGGGTAGCTTGGCAGAGGTATTGGACAAGTTGTGAGTAGACCTTCTGCAGTGTTCTATGTTCTTATGTGGGATAGCGATGAAGAATTTTCTTGGCAAGTGGTTCAGCTATGTTATAGAAGCCGTTGTTCTGGTTGAAATTGTTGGTTGTAGAGATGAGCGATGATTCCAGGATTCTTCTGTATTGAGTGTTGTCTTCTGTGGCTATAAGTCTTGAGTTTCTGTAGTTAATTAAATGGTTGTGTGAATTGCGATGTTGTACACAGGCATTCCTTGTATTGTCAGTCCTGCTTGCGTATTGGTGTTCTGAAATACGTGTTTGGAGGTCTCTTGATGTTTCGCCCACGTATAATTTGTTGCAGTCATTACAAGGGATTATGTATACCCCTGCAGAGGATGGAAGCTTGTCCTGTCTACTACTGGTGATGTCCTTGATGGTCGTGGTTGTGGAGGTAGATACTTGAAATGATGTATTGGAAAAGATGTTGGAAACATGTTTGGCAATGGAGTTGGTGGGGAGGACTATGTATCTCTTCTCGGCAGTGTCTTCTCTGGGTGTGTTGAAGATGTTTAATGCCCGTCGTCTGCAGTCTCTGATGAAGTGACGAGGATAGTGGAGTTTAGAAAATACTTGTTCAATTACTGTGCATTCTTCCTCAAGGAACTCATTGCTGCAGATTCTGAGTGCGCGCAGGAAGAAGCCTATAATTACACCACGTATAGTTTTGGTGTCGTGGTGAGAGTAGAAGTGGAGAAGATCGTTTTGGTTGGTTGGTTTTCGATAGACTTTAAAACGAAGTTCATGGTCAGTTTTGCAGAGAAGAACATCAAGGAAAGGAAGAGTGTTGTCGACTTCTTCTTCAAGTGTGAACTGGATTGAGGGCTCGACCTGGTTGAGCTTGTCTTGGAGAGCTTGAACATTGAAGCTCCTGGGAGTTATGAGAAGAATGTCGTCAACATAACGGAGCCAGGTGACAGTCGAAGGAATAATGGTGGAGAAACGCTCGGCTTCCAGATGTTCCATGTATAAGTTCGCCAGGACGGCACTGAGTGGCGAGCCCATGGGTAGACCAAAAGTCTGTTGAAAGAGGTGATTTTCGAAAGTGAAACACGTAAAGCCGACACATAGTTCAACGAGGTCGATGAAATCGCTGGCTGGAATAGGAAGATCAAGTGAATCGTCAATTTTTCTGAGCAGGAGATCTATGGCTTGTGTAGTAGGTACTTTGGTGAATAGGGAAGTTACGTCAAGGCTGGAAAGTTTCTTGTTCTTGATGTTGATGTTGCGAATGCGATTGAGAAGATCACCCTAGTGTTTGAGAAGTGCTGAACTGATAGTGCCCAAGAGTTTGGAGAGGTGTTTTGCGAGAATTCCTGAGAGTTGGTGGGGAGCGCTGCCTATTCCCGAAGATATGGGCCTCAAAGGGATACCAGGCTTGTGAGTTTTTGGTAGGCCGTACATTCTGGCAGGTCTGGGGTTGCTGGGTATGGTGTGCAGAAGTTTCTTCCCTTGTTCTGAGTTCCTCAGAATGCGGCGGGTCCTTGAAGAAAAGTTTTAGTAAGGTTGTCCACTTGGTTAGTTGTGAGAGGTTTGTAGGTATCTGGGTCATTAAGTAGATTGAGCATTTTGTTCCTGTGGTCGTCAGTGTTCATGATAACAACACTACCTCTGAGGACTACAGGAACAAAATGCTCAATCTACTTAATGACCCAGATACCTACAAAAATATGAAGACCTTCCCCCTTGCTATACCTTCATTCCAATAGGGCCGGAGACCCTTGAAGCATGGGGCAAGTGTGCTCTAAAGTTCCTCAAAGAGCTGGGTGAAAAGCTCATCATAGAAACCAAGGACCACAGGTCGACCAGCTTCCTCTTTTAGATACTCAGTGTTGCGATCCAGAGAGGAAATGCCGGCAGCATTCTGGGCACGCGGCCCACCACAGGGGAGCTGGACGAAGTATTCGAGATGTAGC